CCTTTAAGGGTTTGCGCCCTTGCCTTGGGAAAAAAAAGCCCCCCTTCCGGGCGGGTTCCGCCGCCGGGGGAGGGAAATCCCCCCCCCCCCAGTTCACAGCCGTTCTCATGCAGTGGGCTGGGGGGGGGTCTCACAAGTTCACCCCAGAAAGGCTTCGGGACCGGCCACCCGCCCAAGGCGAAGCTGCGCCACCTCTCGCCCTCTTCTCCCGGGCAGAAAACAATGAGGAGACTCCTGCAGCGCAGGGCAGCGCAGCGCCCCCCGCCCCGTCTCGAAGTCCGCACCAAGTCCTGCAAAGCGGCCCGCCTCTCGCGCGCGCTCGCGCCCTCACCTTGTCTGACGGCTCTGAAAACAATGGGCTCCTTGCAGCTCCGGAGAACTTCCAGCACGTCATAGCGGGGCAAGCCCGAGACGCGGATCCCCTGCACCTCCAAGAGCAGCTCCCCTTCGCCAAGTCTGCCCTCGCCGTTGTCGTTGAGCGGCGCCGCCTCCCCCTCGACGTCCACCGCCCCGACGTAAGGAAACTCTCCGTATTCCGCTCCACCGAGGATGGTGACCCCGAGCTGGCCCTGAGCATTGCGGCTCACCGTGGATTGGTGCACTTTGGCCGTCCAATGGTTCTTCTTCTGGATCACTTTCGACATGGCGATCGCCAAGTTACGCGCAAAAGGAAGGGGGGCTCACACCGGGAGGGGGGAAGGATCGAGACGGGAAACCCGACGCCCACCGCTGGCTGCTCCGGGCCAGGGACTCAACCCGGCGGGCATAGAGCAAGCTCTCCTGCAACTTTCCAGCCGCTTCGCTCAAGCCATCACCGAAGCAGCCTGGCGCGGTTCATGCCCGCAGCCTCTTCCACCGGCGCCTCTGGCGAGGTTCCCATCGTAACCACTGGGCCGTCCTGCCCTGCTCTCCGCCCGGCTTTCCCCTGCGTGGATCTCCGCTGGCTCTCTTCGTCTCCAGTAATCCTCTCCCTCTCTTTCCCCGCCGAAGGTCTCCCGTGGAGCGGCTGGTCCCAGATCCTTCGCCCACCTGGTGCCGCTGTTCTTTGCCCCTCTCCGCTACTTTCTCTGCTCAGAGGGGCTCCGAGCGACCGCGGCTCCTTTAAGCAGATACAAAGACGCCGCTTGTTTTGTTACATTTCGCTCGGGTCGATTCCACCAAGACCGAGCAGAGCTCGAGAGTAGCGATAGGAACGGCTGGCGCAGGCGCCCGGACGACTCTCCGCCCCCTCCTGCCCTCGTCCCCGCCCCGCCGAGGGAAGCTGGAATCCTCTCTCCCCGGCCGGCGGGCGGGCGCGCGCTCCGGGGCCATGTGTGCAGAGGAGTGCTGGCCGGGGCGAAGTCGCCTCCCTCGAAGGGGGGGACGCCG